CGCCGCGCCAGCCGGCCCCGGGCAGGCTTTGCCGGTACTGCAGGCCTGTGTCGCAGCCCGGCTAGGCGGTCGCTGGGGCTGAGGAGGCCTCGGTGGTGGGCGTAGCTGAGCTGCAGCGCTGGCCTGCTTTCCCCAGGAGGGACAGGAGAACGTGGAAATCCTCCCCTCGGGAGAGCGGCAGCAGGCGAACCAGAAGCGGATCACTACCCCCTATATGACCAAATACGAGCGAGCCAGAGTCCTGGGCACGCGTGCTCTCCAGATAGCGTGAGTATTTCACCCCGTAGCGTGAGTGTTGCCACAGCTTCTCCCTTCCCAGTGAAAGCTGCTTTCCTCCTTCTTTAAAAACTCCTACATCTCAGGTAATCCCTTACATGACTGCTGAGCTTGCCGATCACCACCTTGGTCAACACAAGCACAGGACCGTGGAGCTCTTAGTTGCATGTGACGTCTCTGTATCTCTCCTTGGCTGAGACTGTGGTACTTGTGCCTAGAGAGGGGGGCATTCAGCAGCTGCAGTGAACCTTCCTAGGTCACAGGCAAAATGAGTAGGGAATGTGACAAGCTGATCCTGGTTTCTGTCTTTTATGAGGGAGCCATCGTGGGCTGGAAAGCTCAGAACTGGTTTGGAAAAGGCAACGTTGGAGGGAGGGATGCTCCAGAATGTCTTCAGTTGATACCACAGGGCTGTAGGAATCGGGAATGGAGTAACCAACCTGAAATCCATTTTAAGTGCAGTTGCATTGTGGCAAGCTGTAATTTTTTTAAAGTACTTGCAATAGTAAGGTCTAATAGGAAATAACATTTACATCCTATTTTAAGTGCTGTTAAGGCTGGCTGCTCTCAACTTCATCCATTTACCTGACTAGACTTGTTTTAATAATACATGTCAAAGTTTTGTGCTTTTAGAAAAACCACCTTATGAGTGAGATTATTAGGCTGTGGCAAGGTTTGTCTGAAAGAACATCTCTGAGTTTCATCTTGCTTGTATCCACCCTGGAAATAATGCCTCTCCTCTACATCGTTTAGAAGCTTGTAGGTGGTGATCAGGTCTTTCCTTAATCATCACTTTGCCAAGCTATTCTTTGCACAGTCTTCACTCTGTGAAGCTATTTTGTGCGCATTCTTTAAACTGGTGGAAGGCCAGAAAAAAGGGGGAGACAAGATGGGCCCGTGCCAGGCCTTTAATCCAAAAGGCTCTGGCGCCTGGTTCTGCTTCACCTACGTATTCTGCCTTCAGTGCTGAACCTAGGCCAGCAGCAGCCCCCAGCGGCCTTATCCACGCATAACGTGAACTTTGCTGACGCTGTCTAATGGACATCTATCATCACCCGTGTTTGCTCTGCTGTTACAAACCTCTGCAAAATGCTTGAGTTTGTTTTTTTTTTTTTTCCTTCCTAGAAGTAGAGTGCATCATAAATCCAGCCCCTCGCTTTCCCCCCAAAGAAAGCCTGGAAGGTTTGAGCAAATCAGAATGTAAGAGATGTGCTGGAATTGTAGGAGGCATGCTCATTTTGCAGTGTTTACACCCTCTCTATACTGGATTCATTTTAAAACCACTCTTTTTCTCACATTTCTCACGTTTCCGCCTCTCATAGCAGAGGGTGACTAGAAGGGTGTGGATCTGAGCGGCCCTTCAGCACCGGCTGGTTGGCAGAGGAGTGCCCTCTCTGCATTCGCTCAAATGATTATTGACGTTCTGTCCTAGGATGTGTGCCCCTGTGATGGTGGAGTTGGAAGGAGAAACAGACCCCTTGCTGATTGCCATGAAAGAATTGAAGTAAGTTTCAGACTTTGGCTGTGAGCATATTGATTTCCATAAAGCCAGCAGTCCTCTCCTCATCCCAGCATTTAGCAGCTTATTCAAAGATAACCATGTCTTCCCTCGATAACAGTGAGCACTATAGTTGCCTTCCCCTTTTTCACCTTGGGACTTCTCCACAGCTGCTCTCTCTCCCATCCTAGTTGCTCATGCAAAGTACTGATGATTAGGAGTGCCCTGAGAGGTCATGTTCCTGTCAGATCTCCAGGCTCAGTTTGAGTTGCTTCTGGTCGCTGTCTGAGCGTAAGCTCTAAAAAGTAAGGCAGGGTGTGGCAAAGTACAGTGGCATCCTGTTCTGTGCCAAAATTCAGTTGTAATTCTTGGCATGAGGGAGCTGCTTTGCTACTGGAAAAACAACGGGCCAGAATGTGGTCATTAAAGAAGTTGTATTACTTTTCAAGTCTGATACGGTTGAAACCTGATGCCCTAGTTAGATTCTAGACTGCTTACGTTCTGCTGACTTAAATGTACTTCCATTAAGTTAAATTGTGTTCAGCATTTTCTTGCTTTCTAATTGGAAGCACTGTTAGCAGATGCTGTGCTCCACCCCAGCTGTACAAGGTTTCGGTACCTGAATAGTCCCTACTTCATGTATCCTTAAAATGCAACTGATGTTCTCAGGGTGCAAAATACTCTGTAAATATCAGTTTGTCATGAAGGCTTTCAGAATTCTACCACTTTTGTAGTGCCTTGTGGGGAAAAATCTTCCATCAAACAAAAAGTGGTTTTGTTCTTAAAGCACCTTGATTTCCCCCCCCACACACTCCCTGTATCTGAGTTAGATGCTTGGGGTTGTCTCATAGTGAGTTCAGGTCACAGGGCTCAATTCCTGCAGTAGCAACAGAGGACTGACCTTCTGTAGGTCTTTGGTTGTTTCAAGTCTAAGGGTGCTCAGTGCTTTGCAGCTACAAAAGGGAGAAGGTTGTTGGGACTTCCCTCTACCATATTATACCAAATCACTGGTGCTACACAGATCTCTCTTAAACCTGATGAGCCTACTGAAGCCACTAAGCACCTCAGTTCCCATTGCCTGCTGAAGTGGTATAGTGAAGGCTCTGGCATTTTTGTTCACTTCTCTCTGCTCCTTTCAGAGCACGCAAGATCCCCATAATCATCCGTCGTTACCTACCAGATGGGAGCTATGAAGACTGGGGTGTGGATGAGTTAATTATCACAGACTGATCAGCCTCCAGCCATTGTTTTGGTTCTTTCCTTCTCCAGAGATGTTTCTATTTTTGTCTATATTTGTGTAAATAAATTATAAACCTCCCCATTTTAAGTTAAAATGTGTTTGGGTTTTTTTTTCCCTCCCACCTGCTTTTTCATCTCAGTCCTACATGCCCAAGAGAAGACTTTCTTCTTTCTGCCAGCTTGGTCGTTATTCTTTCTGTGTCACAGGCTGTATTAGTAAGATGAGGGACGCGAGTGCCATGCTTTTCTTGCAGCTCTTTTTCTACCTGCAAAGGCCCTACCTTTTACCTAGGCTAAAGACTGCCGTAACTACTTCCTCCTCCTCCTCCAGCGCTGTTCCTCCCTGGTTGTAGATCTGATAGCCAGTTAAACTCCTGCTCTACAAAACTGCTCTTGCAGGTACTTTGGCTTCAGAAAGACTCTAGCCATCCACCACGTCCCTTGAAACGGGAGTGCTGAGACACCTCCATCGCTTCCCCCTAGACAGTTGGGCCTTTGTGCCCTGAGCAGGTTGCTGTGGAAACCCCCAATTTCCTCTCTGGCCAGGGCTGGCTGTGGGGCTTCTCAGGAGTATCGTAGAGCAGCTCTCATCAAATCACCTATTGTTTCTCTGCTCCTGTTGCTTATCAGAAGTGGGGATCCCCTTTCAGTGGCACTGCCCCAGCCGGAAGCACAGTCGCCACTCGCAGTCCCACCAGCTCGGCAGCTGTAGGTTGTTGCCGCTCTTGCTCCTTGTACGGCCGTTCTCTGACACGTGGTGGAACTGATGACTGTGGGCGTGTGGGTGCTCTCCAGCCATCTCAGTAGCACATACTCTGGTGGTTATTACAGTGGCACGACAGTAGTTAAACCCTAGAGTTCCTTTCATCTGTAGTGTGATGAAAGATCAGTCATTTGTCCCCTTCAGGTACCTGCACTCTTGCCTCTGATGTGCAGGGAGGTTACACGCTCGAGTCAAGAGTTGGGTGGATGTGTTATAATCCGCAAGGGCTTCCAGCCAGCTGCTACCTAGTTTTCATTTCTTGATTTGTGTGCTCCAAAATTCTTGCTCTGCATGAGGAAGATCTGAGCTCTTGGGCAGAACACACTGAGCCTTTCTCAATTATCTTATTAAAAACTACTCTTGGAATTTTTTGTTTGTTTTTTTGGTTTTGGGGTTTTTTTAAGAGAAGAAGAGGGAAGGTACACCTCACCTATGGTTTCTGCTTTGCATTAATTTTTCTCTTTATGCCAGTCCAGGAAGAATATTTCCAACTAGTTTGTCTTAAAGCTTGTGCTTATATATAAAGTGTGCATTCTCTATGCTATATGTGTGGTCGGTGCCTGCATATGAGCATCCATGTCCCAAAGGGAGTTTGTATCCACCTGCCTGGGAACTCAGCTCATATAACCAACCTTGAATGTCATTCTCTTACTGCTCCCTGTAAAAGCACCAGTCCATCCTTCCTCTGTTGGTATGGACAGGAGGGGCTGGTTTTGGGTACGAAAATGCAAGAGCTGAATGTGTCCCTGGGCAAAATGACAGGTCAAAGGGAATGTGGAGATACTTGCAGGTGTGGGAAGGGGGTCGACTGTGAGGAACACAAATGCTTCCTGGTCCAGGCCATACTTACCAAGAAAAGGTTAATTTGCAGCACTGTGGCCTTCAGCCTTCTCCCCCCACCCTCCGTGGAATCCTTTAATCACGTTGGTGCGGTGAAATTTCAGCCCTGAAATGGTGCCTTTGTGCAATCGTTTTGGCGTCCGCCATGGAGCGAGGGAGTCGTTTTCTTGTCCTTTTTTTTTCTTTTTTTTTTAAATGGCTTCTTTGTTCCCTACCGGCCTCCCCTCCCCAGCCTTGCATCTGTATCAGATACGATTAAAGGGATAGGGAAGGATGCCGGGCCAGCTCCTGCTAGGCTGCAGGAGGAGTGGTTAACCCCTCTGTTACCAGCAGCATTCTCAGTCCTGTCTTAGTTGTGAGGACCCTCCTAGGTGAGAGGAAGCATCCCCTTCCACTAGAGAATGGTTGAGGCAGAATCTCAGGCAGAGTCCCACTTGCTTTCTTAATTTGCTTTTTGAAGAGCTGGAGAAGGTACTTGTGTGAGGTTAAGAATTTTATTTTCCCGTTCTTCTGTTCGTCCACACCAAGTCCTTTCTCTCTCTCACCCCTGTGATCAGCTCTCCTACCCCTAACTCCACCATGGCTTCCCTTCTTCCCCAGATGTACTCCTGATCTGCTCAGCAGTGCAGTAGTTCCCTTCTGGACTCTTCCCACAGGCCGTAATTTGGGGTGGAGATTTCTCCTCCTCTCCAGTGAATGGCCACAGTCCTATTTTGCGTGGAGCTCTTTAGCTGGCATCACGTTTGTTAAATCCATTAGGCCATTCTGCTGCTGATGCTCTTGGCCCCATACAGGACTTCATCCAAATAATGCTGTGAGCTTTAAAAAGCTTTGAATGTGTTCCACAGTTCCTAGACATCCTGCTTACTCCTCTCACCCATAAAGTTTTTAGTGAACACAAACTCACTGGATCAATCACATGTGTCAGCATTGAAACCCTTTGGAATCGAATCAATTTGTAATTGTGGAGTCTCTGTGTTAATTGGGATCCTACCTTGCTACCGTTGGCTTCGAGAGATGTTCTGAAGCAGACCAATATCTGCTGTGCATTTTCTTTCCAAACGTCTTCAGATAGCCTCCCAGGACCTGACTACACCCAGGATGTCTTACTACTACAATGTCTTAGTACTACAGGACGTCTATTTCAACAAGCAAGGAGGTGTATACATCTATTCTTGAATATACTGTCTGTGTGTGAGTGTTTGTATTTAGATTCTTGCTTGTGGAAGGCAAGAGGTCGGGGGCTTGAGTTTCTACAGAGAAACCAATTGTCACTTCCAAAATACACTAGTTTGTGTATGTGGGGAAGTTTGGGGTTTTTTTTAAGATATGTCATCTGCCACCTGATGATGAGGAACCAAGACAAGAAACCCCACACTCCTATTCTGGAGGGCATTAACAATGACACTAAGAAATTCTTGGGTGAAACACCTGCAAAACAGTGCTTTTCTTAATTGCATATGCTGAATCTTAGCTGAAGAACAGAAATCAGTGTTACTACATTTCTCACTGAAGAAATGACTGGAGCTCGGCTGTGAACAAAAGATGAGTTTCATCTCCGTGAAGGAGTCTGGTAAGCCAGTCAGAGTTCTGCCTGTGTCCTCTTTGTGACAGGCAGAGGTAGGCTGTGCACAGGATCTGTGCAGTGGTGGTGTGACCCTTCATACGCTTACTGGGGCTAAAAAAAAAGAGACTTGCAGGAAAGAGGTCAAAAAAACCCCAGACACATGAAAATGAAACTTTTAAGTTTATTATTCCATATGTTTAATGCAGAGTTAATGGTGCTAGGACAGCATAGAGACTGGGGAAGGGGAGGTGGGGGAGGAAGGTGCTACTTGCATAAATAAAGGGACAGGGCTGGAAGAGGTTACATGCGTACAAGGAGCAAACATTCTACATGATCTTTTCAGACACCACAAGGAGAAGTCATCCATAGCTAAGGGAGGCAGGAAGGGCATCTGACAGTCATATCAGCAGAGGGATACAGCGGCACTGAGCACAGTCCATGTTTGGTCAAAATTTTATCTTTCTAGACTGGAATATCCATTGGAAGGTCCCACAACATGTCTCTGCAATCAATTGCCAGGAGTCATCTTTTCCTGCGGCAGCTTCTGTGCCAGTTCACTCCCTGGCATGGCAAACCACCCCAGTCCTGGAGGTGACAAAGGAGAAGTAAGCAGACTGTCCTCAGGTGTTGGGCTGAAAAAAGGAGGTTGATCTGACTGCGAGAGCTGGTCGCTTCCAGTTTGAAAGCAAAAGGTGAAAACAAAATTCCTTTGCAGCTAAATAGGCTTCTTTTCTTTACAGTCATCCAAGACTGGGCGTATATCTACCCTTGCTTAAAGTTGCAGGAGCATCTTTCCATCCTCAGTGTAGGTAGGAGGGTGGTGTTGACTGACTGGAAGACATGATGAGCAAAGGAGCAGGGATGCACACCCCATCAGCCTGAGTTTGGAGTAGGGGGTCAAAGAGAGTATTGGAATTAACTCAGGGTGTTGGCAAGTGCATAGTAGCTTTCTTGGTGCCTCTGTTTCAGAGAGGCGCAGTCAGATACGGAAGAGCAAGGACTAAGTTTGCTCAGAGGTGGTTTGGGATACTGAAGAGGTTAGAAAAGACTGAGATGCCAGAAATGCCAGACATAAATGCATGATGTAGAGTAATTGTAAGAAAGGAGGATTCACCCACAGCACCTTAATGATTCACTGGTCCTTCCCCACCTCTCCTGCACCTCCATACGTGAACACGCCTGTGCACACAGGCCGTGATATGAGTAACACTGAGATGGACAGTGCGGTTCCTGAGTCGCAGACGTTGTTCAGGCAAGCCTTA